ACACTCAGGAGATGCTTTCATGAGCCAGGGAGTATGTTTTAACCACACTAAATATGCTGGTGCCTTGACCTGAAGCTAGCCCCTGAAGCTATGAGAAATAAATTTCTGTTGCTTATAGCCACCCAGTTTATAGCATTTTGTTACTGCAGACCAAATTGTGTGGAGAGGGTTTTTATTTTCTTGGGAAGGACTTCCCCGTGTTATAACCTTCTTCCCCGCTGCTGGCATCCTCTCTACAAATCAAGTTTAGAGGAAGATGCTCTATGATCTGAGTCTACCAGGCATGCCTTTTGATATACAAACTCTGCCAAAGACCCCCCAAGAATCCTGAGACAAGGGTTCAAGCACAAACATGTGTGCTTTTTTTTTTAAGGAGGGATGGGTATTGGTGAGAATGGGAAGTGAGGGAAGAAGGTGATGGCCAGTAAAGATTAGGTTATGAACACTTGCTGCATTAGGTGAACGGAGCTTAATCTCTGGCGGGCAATTCCAGGCACTGTGGAAAATACACTTGTTAGAACTGTCCCCAGAGGGTTGGGGAAGCCAGAGCACAGATTCCCCAGTGCCAATGAATGATTACTAGGAGGGAGAGGGAGACACCGATTCCCTGACACCTCCATCTGTTCTTACTTGGCAAATCTGTCTTCAGTGAATGAGCCAAGAACCCAGAAGCCACAGGGATGTGGATTCTGCCAGAGGGAGGTCTGAGCGGCATAGGCATCAGGGGCCTGGCATCTTGTGTTTAGTGACAGCGGGGCACACTGCCAGGTCCCATTCGGTGCTAGGAGAATTGATGGCACACAACTTACAGTATCTTTGAGGATAAACAGCTGCAGCAGTGATGCCTGCCTCATAGGCTTCCTCCTTCCCACAGTCATGACTGGATGCTACAATAGTATAAGACCTGGCCATCTATACCACTCTGCACAGCACTGAAGTGTTCTAGCTGTGAAGGACTCAAGCGATGAACCTCCATGCCCTGCCACAGGGATGGTGCTGAGGTATTACCCTCCTTAATAGACATTTTGAGTGGGAAATTCATTTCCTAACCCTGCTTTCTGCAGACCTCTATTTCTTCATGTGGCAGCAGAATTACTATGCCTAAACTCTAAGGTTTTGTTCTGATTCTCTTCTAAAGGCACTGGCGATTACATTCTTAGCTAAACTACTATTTGTTAATATCCATTGCTTAGTAAACAATACACAGCAAGAGCTTTTACACATTTCCTCTCTAAAACATTCAGATTTGTATTCCATCTTTACCTTCAGCCCTAAATCAGTGTTAGAGGATCTTGGTGACCTCACTGAGAAAAGGCAGGTTTCCAGTTGTCCTCTCTGATTTTAGCCCTCTGAGTTCTGACCAGGAGAAAAGAAAAGGTTCACCTCTATGCAGATCCAAAGTCATGGTGTCAAAACTCACCAGAAGGGTGAGCAGAGGGCACATTTCTTTCATCTCCTGTATAATGAAATGTTCCTTGCTTTCTGTTTTCAAGTAGATCATAAAGTATGACATAATGGGAGAGGGAGGAGGTGGAGCTTAGAGTTTCCACAGTGCCTGGCTTTTAAACTTCCCTGGGTGATGTGGACTAATCTCCAAGCTTGGTTTACCTTCTGTCAGATGAGACTGTTTTATCAGTTCTAAAGTGTATTATTCCATCGGCAGCTATTAAAAGTGTGAAGTAATTCTTCCTCCCCATGCATTAGAACTTAAGGCATCTTGTTTTGTTTTGAGGCAATGTTGTGCTATGTGTATGAAACCCAACCTGGCCTCAAACTGGTGGTCCTCCTGCGTCAGCCTTATCAGTTCTGGAATTAGAAGTGTGTGCCATCATATCTGGCTTAAACTTGGTCTTGGTACACATGGTTGAATAGTAGTGATGCCAGCCCCTCTTTGGAGTATTATAATGAGCTTCTTTCTGCTATGGTTAGAATATGATGTAGCCCTCCCACCCTAACTCATGCTGAAATCTGATTGCCTATGACAGAGTTGGGAGTGGAGCTTTTAAGAGTTGAGCAGGTTGTTTGGGGGGTTTGTCCCGGCAAGAGTGGGGTGCTACAAAGCAAATATCCTCCTGCTTTATCTCTTCCACCCGGTTGTCCTGATTTCTACCACAGGAGGAGGCCCTCGCCAGAAGCTGAGTTGTTGTATTACACTCTTGGAATTCCCAGACCTTAGAACCACCTTTCACTCTATAAATCACCAAGTCTTCAGTGTTTAGTTTTTGAAACAGAAAACAGACTAAGGCAGCTTCATTTTTCAAAAAGAAAATTACATATTCATTTTGTTTCTTAAAATTCCCCAGTAGTAGTTCTTCCTCATTTTTTTTTTTGCTTTATTATCTAGCCACATAGATTATCTGCCTTCAAACTGTGTTTTACTTTTCAATTGGGTTGCAAGATAGAAGGTTTCCACGTGGCTTTTCCATACTCCCTTAACTTTGACCCTCTCGTCTCTTCCGCATCCTTATATGGATATAAAACAGTGGAAAATCTGGTAGTAAGACATGAGATCTAGCAAACATTTCAGAAACAATGTAGAGTAAAATGTTTTAAGTGTATCAGGACTCTGCCAGAATGTTAAAAATGGTCCTTTTGTACTGTCAAATATGCTTTCTTAGATTTTTACAGAAGTATCTTCCATCTATTTATTTGACAAAAGGTTAATATCTAGAATACATAAAGAATTCAACTTTCTAAAAACTCAAATAATCCAATTAAAAATAGATGATCTGAACAGAAAACTTCTTCAAAAAAAAAGACAAAGAAATATTAATGGCAACTATAATATCATTAGTTATCAGGGAAATGAAAATCAAAGTGATAAGACTCCATCTCACTACTCTTTAAAAGACTATTATCAAACAACAACAAAAACAACACAAATAAAAAACCCTCTTATGGACGGAGATATAAAAGCACTTAAGGCTGGTAGGGTGGTTCAGTGGTTAAGAACATTGGCTGCTCTTCCAGAAGGCCCAGGGTTCCATTCCCAACACACACATGATGTCTAACTGCCATCTGTAACTCTAATCCCAGTAGGATCTGAAGCCCTCTTCTAGCCTCCACCCTCCATGGGCACCGTGCAGATGTATATCCAAGTGAAACATCCACATACATAAAGTAAAAATAAATAAAATCTAAGACAAGAACACTTAAATACTACATAGCTGCTATGGAGTGGAAAACAATGTGGAGGCACACACACACACACACACACACACACACACACACACACTAAAAATAAAACTTGCTGTGTGATACCTTGGGCACATATCTGAAGGAAATGAAGTCAGAATATGATAGAGATATGTATATGCACATGTATGTTATGGTCCTACTCAAAGAGCTAAGATATGGAGTCATTCTATCAACAGATGAATTGATGAAGAAAACATGATGTATGTGCATAGTACATTATTGCCTTTTACATACATGTGTATGCATATATGTGAATGCAGATATACATGTACATATGTGTGTGGAGTCCAGAGGCCAGCCTCAGGTGTCATCCTCAAGAACAACATTCACCTCCTTTGGAAACAGGATATCTTACTGGCATGGAACTCATCGATGTCTAAACTGGCTGGCCAGCAAGCCTCAGGGATCTTCCTGCATCTCCTGTCTCAGCATTGGACTTAGAATCATGTGCTACCACATCAGACATTTTTTACATGGACTTTAGTGGTCAAACTCAGGTCCTCAAGCTTCTGAGGCAAGCATTTTACTGGCTGAATTATCTCCCTGGCCCCTTATAGTAGATTATTGCTTATCCATAAAGAAAAATGAAATCCTATCGTATGTAGGAAAATGGATGGAACTATAGGGCATCATGTTAAGTGAAATAAGCCAGACCTGGTAGGGCAAGTGTCATGTTTTTCTCTTTCAAAATAAATGATGTATTGAAAATCGATGAGAGATTATTAGGGACTGGGAGCAGGATTTGTCCTGGTGTTTTTTTTTTGTTGTTGTCTACTTGATACAAGCTAGAGATATTGGGGATGTGGGAAACCCAACTGAGACAATGCCCTCACCAGATTTATCTATAGGCAAATTTGTGAGGCATTTTCTTGAATAACAACTGATATGCATGGGTCCAGCCCGAAGGGTGATATGTCACCTCTGGATAGGTGGTCCATAAGAAAGCAGACTGTGCCAGGCATGTGGAACAAGCTAACACACAGCATTTTTCCATGGCTTCTGATTCAGTTCCTGCCTCTAGGTTCTTCCCCTGACTTCCTTCAGTGATGGAATGTTACCTGGAGTGTAAGATGAAATAAACCCCTTTTCTTCCCCAGGTTGTTTTGGTCATGGTGTTTTATGATAGCAATAGAAAGCAAACAAAGGTGGGGTTAGAAAGGAAGAGGGAGGAGAGGGTAGGTAGGTGAATGGTCACGATGGACATGTAATATATAAGTGAATAGAAGTAACTTGGTGAATTAATTAGTAAAACTGATATGTTTTAATAATTATAATGAGAAGAGATAAAGGAGCAACTATCACAGTGTTAGGATGATCAGTTCCTATTTACAATGATCTCTCCACCTCCAACATGTTGGACAAAGTGCACTAGGTTATCATTAAATACCTATGCAATGAACAAATTAGGCAGAAGCCATATCAGAGGTACTGGGAAAGGGCTGTAATGAACAAACTATTCCAAGTGATGAAATTGGAGGTGATTGATGCTTTAATGTCTGATTACAGAGCTTTAAACAGGAGACCAAAGAAGAGGCCTTTGAAGGCAGCATCATCACCACTGGAATCCAAACTTCACAGAAACCAAGCGAAAATATCTTTAATTAGTGAAAGAAATTGCCCTAAAGTTTTACATAATAAGGTAGATGAGATTTTTCTTACGCAATTCCATCTCCACGAATGGGGTAATCCTGTGTGACTTGCCCCACCCACCAGTGAGGGTATAAAACCTGGGAGAGGTTGGTGATGGTCACAGGCAAGACACTTGTCCTCATCCTCTAAACCAATCTACCACTCCTGACACCATGTGCCACTACAGCAGCTACTATGGAGGCCGAGGCTATGGCCACGGAGGTATCAATGGACTGGGCTGTGGCCATGGGGGCTTTAGTGGCCTGCGATATGGCCATGGAGGTGTCAGTGGCTATGGCTTCCACCACAGAGGCTTCAATGGCCTGGGCTATGGCTATGGCTGTGGAGGTGGCAGCTTCCACAGACTGGGCAACCATTATGGCTTTGGAGGCTATGGATATGGTTCTGGCTATGGAAACCACAGATATGGCTACTTCCATCCCTCATCTTTTGGGAGATATGGCTTCTCCAGCTTCTACTGAAGAGCGAAATTATTCCTTGGACCATTGGAATCCTCACATGTCAACTGCTCTGCTGAATTCTCAATAAGCTGTATACATCAACAGAGGCTGCCTGATGAATTTTCTTCAAGATCAAGACTCATTTCTGAAAAAGAAATTCCAGAATCAAGAGACAACCACAAGGGGAACCCTTCCCATTCCATCTGGAATCTTACTTGTCAAGTTACTAATCTCTTTCTTTCCTTTCATTATAACAATGTAGTACAAACTTTCATGTTTCAATAAATTAATTTCAATCATCCAGTAAATGGCATCTCTCTTTCAAAGCTTTATTTGACTATGACAAGAGAACTTAAGAACATTTAACAAAACAACAGGGTCCCATGTAGTCCAAGCTGACCTAGAACTGACTGTGGAGCCAAGGACGACTTTGAACTATTGATTTGGGTGCCTTCACCTCTTGAGTGCTGGGGTTATAGGTGTGTGCCACCATGCCTGGTTTGTGGGGTGCTAGGAGCTGAAGCCAGGGGATTGTACATGCTAGGAAAGCACTTTACCAGTGGAGTCACAGCCCCAGACACACCTTGTAACAAATTTAAAGTGCACAGCATACTGTTGACTGATGTTGTCTGACTGATCTTTAGACCTTATTCATCTGTTTAACCCAAACATTTGACCGTTTCAAAGCAATTCTCCATTTCTCTTTCCACCCGGATTTTACTAGCCACCATTTTGCTTCTTGGTTCTGTAAATTTGTCTATTTTTAGATATATTACGTAAGAGGCATTTGTCTTCCTGCTACCTGCTTATTTCACTTGGTTTCATTTTTATTAATTCATTGAATTAGACCCAAGCTCCCAGGTCTGTGCCTGTACATTCATCATTGTATATTCAGTGTCCATGACAGTGCCAGGCACATATATGTCATCAGAGAGCAGTGGATTAAGAAACTTGCTCATATAACCTATTCACAAGAAGCTTGCTCAGGGGTTTTATAATATAGCACCAGTTGTCATTGGTCCAATGGTCACCTGAAATGCCATCTGAATTTTGGAATCATGGTGGTTGTTCATGTTTCAACATTCTTCCTACTCCATGTTCTCTTCTATCCACCTGTCTGTCTGTTTACCTATCTGTCTGTCTATCTTACTGGTTCATCAGTTGCATCTCTCTGTACAGTTATTGTTCCAGGAGCTGACAAAGAACCTCATCAGGACCTCCATAGTCACCTTATATATGCTTTTCCTTGTGGGGTTACATACACTTTCTTGCTATTTGTCAAGAAACATGTTAAATTTATTTACTGTCAGGCAAGGTACCGAGAGGGAAGATATTTGCATCATGTATAATACATACAGACTTGGACACTATTATAAAATATTCATTGCCAACGGATATTAAAATGGAAGAAAACCCCTATGTATTCTTATCACAAAAACTACACTGCTGTAACAATGACAATTGAAGCTGTGTGCATGCCGCCACTTGAATAAACCTCACAGCCACGAGGCTGAGTTAAGAGACTTCAGCATTGTAAAATCAATTTGCTGCAGACCTGTTTATTCAAGTTCCTAAACTAGAAGAAAAAAGATGCAACTAAGTTAGGTTGTAGTTAAGATTTAAGCCAGGACAGTGGTTCTCTTTGGAAGGCACTGTGAGGAAAAGGCCCAAGAGGAGCTTACGAAGTGGCAGCAAATGTCTTATTTCTACCTGGGGATGGTTCCAAGGTGTCACTGTCCCAGCTAGCTTTAGCTTCAACTCGACCCATCCTAATGTCATCTGAGAAAGGAGTCTCTATTGAGGACTGCCCAGAAATTGGCTTGGCTTGTGGATGTGTCTGTAAAGATCATCTAGATTGGTAGTTGGTGTAGGAGGGCACAGCCCACTATGGGAGGCACCATTCCCTGGGCAGGCGGTCCTGGGCTCTATATAAAATCTGGGTAAGTATGGGGTTGTGAGTATGTCAGCAAAAGCATTCCTCCGTGGCTTCAGCTCCTGCCCTACTTTCCTCAGTGCTGGACGGTGACCTAGACATGTCAGCCAACTAAACCTCCTGTAAGTAGCCCCGATCAGAGTGTTTTGTCACAGAGGCAGAGAGGAAACTGAAACAGTCAATCACTAACTTGCTTGTTGGTTTTTAGTGTGTTCCTTTGTGTGTTTGTCATATTTCAATTTAAAACAGTTAAAATACTTGACAGGACTCTGACTTGAAAAGAGTTAGTCTTAGAGCAGAGAATTCAGATGGTTCACCCGCACTGTGTATTTCTTAAGGCATACAGGATTCCAAATGAATAATGCATTCATTGCTTTTGGTGTCAAGAGACTTGAAATCTAACAACCCATACTAAGGGTGTGTGTGTGTGTGTGTGTGTGATGTATTTGGGACCAATGGCTGGAGAGCTAACAAAATGAATGCTGGTGACATTTCCTCATGCTTTTGGAAGTGTCTAAGTATGTGTGGAAAAACAGAGGATTGGAAACCAAGACTCATGGGGACCGTGAACAGAGAGATCAGCACAAATCTTGGCCAGGCAGCTGCTTTTATGACCGCCTTGGCAACTAGTATCTTCTGTTTGACAGAAATAATATGCCACACATGAACCGCTCACTAAATCCAACTGTGCCGGAGTGCTTGCTGAGATTTATCTGCATAGGTCCGATTAAACTCGCAAGGCTTGGGGGGAATTGTACTTTCATTTCCAACTCACCAGCTAAATAGAATGCCAAGCTCATGTCAAGCTTGAAAAGAAGCATCTGACAGCCAATCTGATGATCTTGGACGAGATGACACCACATGCCACCTTCTGAGATACCCCTTTTGAAATTTCTTTTTAGAAGTTTTACTTTTTCTTATGAACTCAGGGCCTTGCTGATGCCAGGCAAGTGCTATGTTGTTGAGTTCAGTCCACTTGCAAACCCCACTCAAGGTGTTAGAGCTGAGGCTTTAGGAACACCAGTTTGTACTGGAATCTGGACTAGTGTTATTTTTATGTGACTAAGCTAACTACATTTCAGAACATTTCTTAGGAATAAATTTTCATTGTTTCTTGAAGTCAGTAATTTTTTTTATTAATCTTTGGGTGACCAGGGTAGTATGTGGAAGGTGCTTATAGGTAGAAAACACAATACCCCCAAATCTGTGCTTCATTACCTACTTCTGCTGTTGCCAGCTTCTTGTATAGTGTGAGCTTTGGAAAAGCTGAATCTGAATCTGAAATAGCTGAATTCAGATCAAAGAATATTTGTAAGTATGACTTGGAAAAATGTCTCCGCTGTGGCAGCTTAGCTAGACCACATTGCATCATTAAATAGTTTTCACAGTGGCTTTATCCCCTAAGGATTTCTTATTTTATCTCAGTCTTAATGACTCAGCTCCCCTTGGGGCTTTACTGAGGTAGCTCAGGGGTCTGACCTGCCTCACAGCTCCACGTTCTCTTGTGTAGCTAGAGTTTTTCTGCCTGGCCCACAGTCAGGACAAATCTCTGTCACTCACCAGTCCCACAGCCGCTCAAACCCGACCAAGTAAACACAAAGACTTATATTGGTTACAAACTGTATGGCCGTGGCAGGCTTCTTGCTAACTGTTCTTACAGCTTAAATTAATCCATTTCTATAAATCTATACCTTGCCACGTGGCTCGTGGCTTACCGGCGTCTTCACATGCTGTTTCTCATTGTGGAGGCTGGCAGTGTCTCTCTGACTCAGCCTTCCACTTCCCAGTTTTATTTTCCTCCTTGTCCTGCCTACACTTCCTGCCTAGCCAATGGCCAATCAGTGTTTTATTTATTAACTAATCAGCACCACATTTGTCATACAGAACATCCCACAGCACTTTTGCTCACCTGGTTTAGAGGGAGAGGAGAATACAGGAAGTGCTGCTGTGAAAGAGATGAGGGGCTCAGCTGTGCCCCCTTTCTTCCACTGGTGAAGTGAGTCCTCAATTCCATGTACCTGTGTGCCCAGGGAGAGAGTTGGTGGCCAGTCCCTCTTCCTCAATCGCAACAAGGTTGGTTGCACATCTTAGGAATCCCTGGCCAAATCGTTGTTTCTTCCAAAGTGGTAGAAGAAGTGGGAAGACCAAGGGTGAATTTTCTTTACTAAACATAGAATTTTTATCTAAGTTGACATATATATATATACTTTCTTGCTATTCTGAAGTGGTAAAACTGCCCTGTGGGCATTCCATGGCTCAGAGAGGTTCGCATCTCTGCCTACCTGTATGGAGATATATGCTGTAGGCATTAAATCTATATTATATTTTAATTTTGATATTAAGATAAAGAGATATTTGTATGTTCAAAATCTTGGATGTTAAAAAGGAATTTATAGAGAGTGGGCATCTTATTAAATGGTTAGAGTTTGTTATCAATAACTTCCTAAATGGTTTTTCGGAATATCAGGGCAAAAGTTGAACTTTATATCTCACTTATTAATTTGTTTATTTAACCATCTCCTCATTTGAGGTTTTCTTGAATATCTACAATTATTATACATGCTTTCAAAGGTTAATAGCTGCTCAAGGTCTTCCTTTTCCCTTCTCTCACCCCTGTCTGGAAAGTTAAGTCTAAGCAAACTTCTTAGCTCCCTATCCACCTGCCTTCATAATTTGCACCAAAAAAAATTCATTTGTAAGAAAGTGTTTTGGTGGATTGGGGTAGGGAAGAAAGCCACTATTTGCTCCTAGGAATGATAGGATAAAAGAGAAGATTATTGAATCTACTTTAAAACTAAAATGCAACTACTAGTCTCAAACATTTTACATTGATATGGGTTTTTGTATAGTGATACAAATTTATTTTTTAGTTTTTTACAGCATACTGTATATATGTTTCTACTCTTGTTTCAGGTGTTGTACTTATGCAACTCATTTAAAAATGTAATGTAAAGTTCTTATCCTTGAAAGCTACTATTACAAACTGTTCATGATAATTAGGATTTGCAGATTAGTAATTAGTCACCTATAACAATCAAACTTGTAGTCATGTTAGGTATGTTTTCAAGGTTAAACAGAGATATAGTTT